CCATTGGTATATGTGCCCATTTTTAAAGCAGTATCATGTTGTTTTGGTGACTATGGCCTTTTAGTATAGTTTGAAATTAAGTGATGTGTTGTCTCCAGGTTTATTATTTTTGCTTAGCTTTGTTTTGGCTATGCAGACAGTTTTTTGGTTCCACATAAATTTTACGATTTTTTTTTCTAGTTCTGTGAAGAATGATTGTGGTATTTTGATGGGGATTGCATTGTATTTGTAGATTGCTTTTGGCAGTATGGCCATTTTCACAATATTGATTCTCTCCATCCATCAGGATGGGATGTGTTTCCATTTGTTTGTTTCATCTATGATTTCTTTCAGCAGTATTTTGTAGTTTTCCTTGTAGAAATCTTTCACATCCCTGGTTGAGTACATTCCTAAGTATTTTATTTATTTTGCAGCTATTTTAAAAGGGGTTGAGATCTTGATTTGATTCTCAGCTTGGTAGCTATTGGTGTATAGCAGAGCTACTGATTTGTGTACATTAATTTTGTATCCTGAAACTTTTCTGAACTCATTTGTCAGTTCTAGGAGCTTTTTGCATGAGTTTTTAGGATTTTCCAGGTATACAATCATATCTTCAGCAAACAGTGACAATTTGACTTCCTCTTTACCGATTTGGATGCCCTTTATTTCCTCCTTTTTATCTTCAGCAAACAGTGACAATTTGACTTCCTCTTTACCGATTTGGATGCCCTTTATTTCCTCCTTTTGTCTGATTGCTGTGGCTAGGACTTCCAGTACTATGTTGAATAGAGCGGGTGAGAGTGGGCATCCTTGTCTTTTTCCAGTTTTCAGAGGTAATGCTTTCTACTTTTCCCCATTCAGTATTATGTTGGCTGTGGGTTTCCCATAGATGACGTTTATTACACTGAGGTATGTCCCTTGTATGCTGATTTTGCTGAGGGTTTTAATCATGAAAGGAGGCTGAATTTTGTCAAATGTTTTTCTGTGTCTATTGAGAAGATCATGTGATTTTTATTTTTAATTCTATTTATGTGGTGTATTACATTAATGACACAAGTCATTAACCTGTTTCTATTAAATGATCCTTGCATCCCTGGTATGAAACCCACTTGTTTATGGTAGATTATGTTTTTGATATGCTGTTGGATTCAGTTATCTAGTATTTAGTTGTGGATTTTTGCATCCATGTTCATCAAGGATATTGGTCTGTAGTTGTTTTTTTGTTGTTGTTATGTCCTTTCTGGTTTTGGTATTAGGTGACACTGGCTTCCTAAAATGATTTAGAGAGGATTCCTTCTTTCGCTATTTTGTGGAATAGCATCAATGGGATTGGTATCAATTCTTTGAATTTCTGGTATAATTCAGCTGTGAATCCATCTGGTATTGCACTTTTTTTTGGTAATTTTTTTTTTATTACCATTTCAATCTCTTTCCTTGTTATTAGTCTGTTTAGGGTTTCTAATTCTTCCTCATTTAAGCTGGGGGAGTTGTATCTTTTCAGGAACTTTTCCATCTCCTCTATGTTTTCCAGTTTATGCTAATAAAGGTGTTCATACTAGCCTTGTGTGATCTTTTGTCTTTCTCTGGTGTTGGTTGTAATGTCTCTTGTTTCATTTCTAATTGAGCTTCTTTGGATCTTCTCTCTTCTTTTCTTGGGTAATCTTGCAACTTGTTGTAATATCATAGAAAATGGTTTGGAAGAATTACTATCTTTTTATATATCTCTTGGCCATTTGGATTTCTGTTTGCAGAAAGCCTTGATAAAATATTTGGTCCTTTTTTATTGGGTAGTTTGTTTTACCATTGGTTAATGCTTTGTTTGTCCTATTTAAGAAACATTTGCCCATCCAAAGCCATAAAAATATTCTCTTATTTTTTTAAAGATGCTTTATTCATTTTCCTTTGGCACTTAGGTTTTCAATCTATTAGATACATGTTTTTGTGTATTGTATGAATTAAGATTGAAAGTTACTATTTTTCTATGTGTATATTGAGTTGTGTCAAAAGTTTATGTGGTAAAGGTTATACTTTCCCAACTGCATTGCAGTGTCATCTTTATTTTAATTCAGGTAACAGCAACAAGAGCAAGTGGGCTGGATATTATTCTGTTTCATTATCTTAATCCTTGTGTCTATATCTACTATAACTGTAGTATAACTACAGGCTGTACTATATCTGTACAATCTGTAATAGTATCCCTTTTTCATTCCTGATACTGATCATTTTTGTATTTTTCTCTTTTTGTCTTGATAAGTGTTGTTATGCGTTCATCTATATTATTAATCTTCTCCACAAATAATCGTTTAAATATGTGCAGAACATGCAGGTTTGTTACATAGGTATATACGTGCCATTTGCTGCACCCATCAACCAGTAACCCACATTAGGTATTTCTCCTAATGCTATCCCTCCGCTAGCCCTTCACCCCCTGACAGGCCACGGAGTGTGATGTTTCACTCCCTGTGCCAATATGTTCTCATTGTTCAACTCCCACTTATGAGTGAGAACATGTGGTGTTTGGTTTTCTGTTCTTGTGATAGCTCACTGAGAATGATGGTTTCCAGCTTCATCCATGTCCCTACAAAGGACATGGATGTCACATTTTCTTCATCATTGATAGAGAAAATCATCACATCTTTCTATATATCATTGATGGGCATTTCGGTTGGTTCCAAGTCTTTGCTATTGTGAATAGTGCTGCAATTAACATATGTGTGCATGTGTCTTTATAGTAGAATGATTTATAATCCTTTGGGTATATAACCAGTAATAGGATTGCTGGGTCAAATGGTATTTCTGGTTCTAGATCCTTGAGGAATCACCACACTGTCTTCTGCAATGGTTGAACTAATTTACACTCCAACCAACAATGTAAAAGCGTTTTTATTTCTGCACATCCTCTCCAGCATCTGTTGTTTCCTGACTTTTTAATGGTTGCCATTCTAACTGGCGTGAGATGGTATCTCATTGTGGATTTGATTTGCATTTCTCTAATGACCAGTGATGATGAGCTTTTTTTTTTTTTTTCATATGTTTGTTGGCTACATAAATGTCTTCTTGTAAGAAGTGTCTGTTCATATCCTTCGCCCACTTTTTGATGTTTTTGTTTTCTTGTAAATTTGTTTAAGTTTCTTGTGGATTCTGGATACCAGATCTTTGTCAGGTGAATAGATTGCAAAAATGTCCTCCTATTCTGTAGGTTGCCTGTTCAATATGATGATAGTTTCTTTTGCTGTGCAGACACTCTTTTTTTTTTTTTTTTTTTTTTTTTTTGAGACGGAGTCTCGCTCTGTCACCCAGGCTGGAGTGTGGTGGCCGGATCTCTGCTCACTGCAAGCTCTGCCTCCCGGAGTAGCTGGGACTACAGGCGCTCGCCACCTCGCCCGGCTAGTTTTTTGTACTTTTTAGTAGAGACGGAGTTTCACCGTGTTAGCCAGGATGGTCTCGATCTCCTGACCTCGTGATCCGCCTGTCTCAGCCTCCCAAAGTGCTGGGATTACAGGCTTGAGCCACCGCGCCCGGCCGACACTCTTTAATTAGATCTCATTTGTCAATTTTGGCTTTTGTTGCCATTGCTTTTGGTGTTTTAGTCATGAAGTCTTTGCACATGCCTATGTCCTGAATGGTATTGCCCAGGTTTTCTTCTAGGATTTTTATTGTTTTAGGTCTTACATTTAAGTCCTTAATCCATATTGATTTAATTTTTGTATAAAGTGTAGGAGGTGATCCACTTTCAGTTTTCCACATATGGCTAGCCAGTTTTCCCAGCACCATTTATTAAATAGGGAATCCTTTTTCCATTGCCTGTTTTTGTCGGGTTTGTCAAAGACTAGATTGTAGTAGATGTGTGGCATTATATCTGAGGCCTCTGTTCTGCTCCATTGGTCTATATATCTTTTTTGGTACCAGTACCATGCTGTTTTGGTTACTGTAGCCTTGTAATATAGTTTGAAGTCAGGTAGCATGATGCCTCCAGCTTGTTCTTTTTGCTTAGGATTGTCTTGGCTAAATGGACTCTTTTTGTTCCATATGAAATTTAAAGTAGTTTTTTCTAATTCTGTGAAGAAAGTCAATGGTACCTTGATAGGGATAGCATTGAATCTATAAATTACTTTGGGTAGTATGGCCATTTTTACAATTTGATTCTTGTTATCCATGAGCATGAAATGTTTTTCCATTTGTTTGTGTCCTCTCTTATTTCCTTGAGTAGTGGTTTGTACGTCAAGAGGTCCTTCACATCCCATGTAAGTTGTATTCCTGATATTTTATTTTCATTTTAGCAATTGTGAATGAGAGCTCATTCATGATTTGGATCTCTATTATTGGTATATAGGAATGCTTGTGATTTTTGCACAGTAGTTTTGTATCCTGAGACTTTGCTAAAGTTGCTTATCAGCTTAAGAAGATTTTGGGCTGAGAGATTGTAGGTAATCGAGAAAGGACTTATAGTTTCACTTAAGTCTTGAAATCTGGTTATCCATCTAGCATATTAAATTGTGAAATATATTATAGGCAGTGGAAATGGCATAAACAAAGTTATAAATGAGCATTAAAATAGCCTGTTCTTTGTGGAAAATTGCAAACAATTTGTTATGGCTTCTGTTTAGGTATCAGGTTGCAGAGAGCTTTGTATACAAGTTAAAGGAACGTTGACTTTATCCTCTAGGCCAGTAGATTTGTTAATCTGTATTCTAACTCATCCTCATCCATATAGGCTCTGCAGGCTGTTAGAACCATCGCAGAAAGAGAGAATAGTCTAATAAGTAGGGACCATTTCTCCATCAGAGTAGCTCTGGTTTGGCTGTTTTATATTGAAGTTCTTCATTGTACTCTATTTGGAAAAAAAATTCACTGCTTTTAAGAAAGCTAATAAAATTGTAAAACTACCACAATGAGATATAAGAAGACCTGAAAAGTTTTAACCAGGAGAAAAAATATTTAAGATAAACACCATAATGAAATACAACATGCAGAGATCATGTCTTATTTTGGGCAGCTAACCTGAGTGTCTAACCTTTCAGGTGTGGTTCCCAACAAAGGTCAGTTTCCCATGGCTGTGGGAGGCCAGGAGTTGTTTCAGTGCACTGGTCCGATGTGCCGCTATGCTGAAGACCTGGCCCCCATGTTGAAGGTCATGGCAGGACCTGGGATCAAAAGGTATGTTCATTTATTTTTATTTCCTCAGACTCTTATCCTGACATTCATCCTCTCTTTATTTATTAATGTCATAGAGGTAGACTTTCAGTCCTCAAGCAAAGAATTATTGCAGATATTTATGAGAGAGCCTTTATATACTTATATAAGTGGATACCATGATTCACAAATTGGGAAGATGCCGTGTAAAAGTATTTTACTGAGAAAATACAAAGAGAGGCCTTATTTTGGAATGGAAACGGTGAATCTTTTTGTTGTTCATTTGTGAATTTGAGTATAAGGACTATGTGCACTTCAAGTTCAGCCTTTCTGATTCTTCTGCCATCTGTCACCATATACATACTTTCCAATCTCACCTAGGCATCAATGCTGCTTGGAAATCGGTTTCCGTAGACAGCATTTTTTTTTTTTTTTTTACGTTTTCTATAGCAGTGATTTCAAATTATTTCCATTTCCAGCAAACCTGTGATCTTCTCCTTTCCTTTACCCTCAAGTAAATACTCCCACATTTTATCTCATCAAAAAAAAAAAAAAATGCAATCTATATGTAACTTACTTCAGTTTCTTACCATCACATTTTTCTAGGTCTCCAACGTTCATTCTTTTCTCCCTTTAGAGTGGAGAAAATATCTTTCCATTTTGCTTTAGCATATAAGTAGTTTCAGTTATGCTCTTGATCTTATGTTCTCGTATTCTCTCAGGTCTTTGTTCCACTACTTATCTCACCTTAGTATGACTTTAACCTCTCTCTGTCTCTCTCTGTCTCTCTGTCTCTCTCTCTCTCTCTCTCACACCCACACACACACATACACACTTATGCACCCTTGTCATTATAATTAAACATCCTAAGTGTCTCTCATCTTAAAATGAGACAAAATTTTTTTAGTCACTTATTCCCCTTAAGCCACTACTCTATGCTGCTTTTTGCCCCATTGCCAGACCCTTTGTGTGAATTATTTATACTCATTGACTCTAAATTCTCACATTGCCATCTCATAAATGAATTCACTACAAACTGGTTTTTACCACCAAAATTATTCTTGCCAAGGTCCCTGATTTTTTTTTTTTTGCATTTTTGGTAAGAATAATGACTGCTTCTCAATACTTACCATTCATTACCTCATTATAACTGGTGGCAGTATTGATATTACTCCATCATTATTGAAACAAACTCTGCCCTTAGCTCTTGTGATACAATCTTTTTTAAAATTATTGCTAATTTTTGTGGGTACATAGCAGGTATATATATTTACGGGCTACATGAGATATTTTGAAGCAGTCATGTAATGCATAATAATTGCTTCATGGAAAATGGGGTAGGTATTCATCCCCTTAAGCATTTATGCTTTGTGTTATGGACAGTCCACCCTTTTGATATTGCTCCTTTTCCTTTCATCTGCCTTACTGGCTCTTCCTTCCTTTGTTCATCTCTTATATATTGGTATTCTAGAAGGACCTGGTTTACTTCTCTGTCTTCTTTCTACTTACCCTCTCAGAATGACTCCATCTATCCTTGCCACTTCAACCATTTTCCATACACAGATGATGCTGAAATCTACCTCTTCAGCTCACTCTTTTCACTTAAGCTAGAGGACTGTCTATTTACTACTACAAGAAGACTGGCCATTTCAGATAACTGAAACTCAATATATCTAAAACTGATATTATTTTTCTTCCAAGCTCCAGAAACCTGATCCACTACTTCAATTCTTGCCCAATCCCAGTGATTGGATGACCAAAATCAACCCAGTTGCTAAAGCCTCATATCCAATTTTTCTCAGTCATTACATCTAAGCAATGCTGAGTCATATTGAAACTACCTACTAATGATTTCTTACATCTTTATATATCTCTCCATCATCATGGTTACAGTTCTAGTTCAGGTTACAATCATTTCTACTATTAACTGCTACCAAAGCATTTTGATTTGTCACTATGTCTACAATTTTGATACATTCCAAACCATTCTCTCCCCTGCAGCTCAAGTACATTTCTTAAATGCAAATCTAAATTCTAAAGGTATAACACTGTTTCTGGCACACAGTGCTCAGGGAAAAATACTTCATTAGAGCTGAAGCTCAGATGTCAGGATTGAACTAGTAAGGATATCTAAATAATTTGTTGACGTCAGTTTCCTTTTAATGCTCCACAGGTTAAAACTAGACACAAAGGTACATTTAAAAGACTTAAAATTTTACTGGATGGAACATGATGGAGGCTCATTTTTAATGTCCAAAGTGGACCAAGATCTCATTTTGGCTCAGAAAAAGGTAATTTTAAATAAAATTTGTTTAAGAATTATTTTTAGTCAAGGAGATGCCATTCTGAACCCTTTACTTCACTTTCTGCCAAATATTTCTGTGTTAGCATACGGAATTAAGGTTTTCAGAACTTATACTAAGCAATTTTGGGTGTAATTTTTCATGGTTATTTTAGATATTTTATTTTTTAGTAATGAAATGAGTACTTTGAAAATAAAGTATGATAAATCAAATAAATAAATTGCTCAGAGGTAACCGTTATTAATAATTTGGTATGTATCTATCCAGTGATTCTTCTATGCTCATGTGTAGATGTACATTTTAGGTAATTGAGACAACATTATATATGCAATCATTTTAGCCTGAGCTTTATTTTAAAATGCTTTTATAATCAGATGAAATAATAAAACAAATTTGTCTTTTTAAAAGCAAAGGTTCATTTTGGAAAGAAGAATAATAAGGGAACAGCTCTATCAAATTTTAAAAGTAATTTTTAAACTACTACTTAATAATAATACAGATTATTACTTGGAAGCAATGGAATTGTATATCTCAATCCTCAAGGGAATCAGTATAACAACTCACAGTAAGAATTAGGAAAGTGTTCTAGTGAAAGTCGAATAATCTCTAAATTAGAATCATCTAAATAGACCAAAAACCACTAGTCAAAATTGTTTTGCAATACTTATGAATTATGAAACATATGTGTAAAAACTAGAAGAAACTTAAGTGTGGTGGAAGATGGCTTTTATATTCTGTCTTTGTTTTGTGCCACCATGAAAAAATGCCTGTGACTCGATAACTTACAAAGAACGAAAATTTATTTCTCACACATCTGAAGACAGGAAAGTCCAAGATCAAGGTGCTGGCAGGTTCAGTGTCTGGTGAGGGCCATCTTGCTGCATTCTCCAGAAGGGAGAAACATGGCAGAAGGGTGGAAGAGACAGCTGCTAAGGCTGCATGAAGCCTTTTAAGAAATGGCTGTAATTGCATTAACTAGGGGCAGCCCTCATGGCCTAATCACCTCTTAAGGGCCCCACCTCTTAATACTAATGCATTGGCAACACCTGAATTTTGGAGGCGATGCATTCAAACCATAGGTCAGGAGATCGAAGCCATCCTGACTAACACGGTGAAACCCCGTCTTTACTAAACAAAATACAAAATACCCTGGTGGCGGGCGCCTGTAGTCCCAGCTACTCGGGAGGCTGAGGCAGGAGAATGGTGTGAACCCAGGAGGCGGAGGTTGCAATGAGCTGAGATCGTGCCACTGTACTCCAGCCTGGGAGACAGAGCGAGACTCCGCCTAAAAAAAATAAAATTAAATTAAAAAAAAAAAAGAAAGATACAAAAACAACAACAACAAAAAAAACAAAACGTAAACACAGCATATGTGAATACATTACTGTGTTACTAGATTTGAAAATCATGTTATAAAATTATGCATTTTTAAAAATCTATAGGTACAATGTAATTCATATAAAAACTCAGTGGATTTTTAAATTTCTCTTTGTAATGCTATGGTTTTTGATATTTTCATCATATATCCTATTTTAGGTTGAACTCATTTATTCTGTGAGTTTTTAAATAGCACTCTTTGCATTAGTATTAAAAGAGGAAAAGAGAAAAGTGAGATCTTCATAGGTTATAAACCCAGAAACAGAATTTCTTCCTATATTAACTTTTTACATGTATTAAGATAGCTTCACTTATAGGAAATAATAATATCTAAAAGAGAGAAATCATAGAAAATACTGTCAATAAAAATGATAGAGGATTATTAACCTTATACAGGCTATAACCCATTATAAGAGAAATACTACCAGGGACACAGGAAAAGGAGAAAGGTAAATTATAAAAGAAGATATGTAAGTGAATAGTAAAAACACAAGAAATGTTAAGACTTACAAGTAATTAAAGGAAGAACTATAGAAAAATTAAGATACTATTCCTCGGTTGCTTGGGTTGATAAACCATAGAATGCTAGTGGCAAAGCAAATTGGTACTTTTCTGGGGAGCTGGAGGATAAATGCAAAATTATGAAGCCAGGTGCAGAAGGACAAAAGTAAGTGAATGGAAGTAAATTACTCGCATTGAACTTTTAGTCCATATAAGTTGCTCTCACAGTAGAATTACCTCACTTCCTGTTCTGTAACTTAAGCAAAAATGTTAATAACTGAATGTACAGACTCTTCATTACCAAATTCTCTAGCCAATTTAATATTCTGACCCCAAACCCTTCCCTTTACAATATTAAAATGATATTTTTGCTGGCCTGAAATTCATGCGTATGAAAAGCCAATTTTCCTAAATGGGGTTTTCACTTGTGATACTAACCAAGAGTGTCACTGTTACTGAAACTTTCTCTGCAGTCTCAGAAGTGACAATGTTGCAGACCTCATCACCTGTTGGCATCAAGTAGCAGGGAGAGCTATCATAGAATAGTTTAGCTTGAAATAATACTTTAAAATAGTCGCCTGCTAAAAAAAGAGACAGATTGAAATACATCTGAATTCATTTAGGAGTTTCATTTCATATTGGATAATTTTAGAACAGGCTCTAGTGAAGTTTGGTGTATGGAATACAAGGATCTATAATACTGTTGTATGCTTTACCAGTTGATTCAATAACATAAATTTTATAACCTCAATATTTTTCCAGAAACCATTTTATAAAATTCAGACGTCTATTTCTGATTAAAAATTAATTTTTGCCATACTATGTTCTTTTTTATATTATCTACATGAAATCCAGGGCAATCTCTTTAAAATATAAAATAAGGTAAGCATGCTAACCATCACCATTATTATTTATAGAAAGTATGCCAAAGAGAAATTAGAAATAAGAGGTGTGACTATGAAAAAAAGACAAATCAATAATTATTTATAGAATAAGATGTGAGTATATTCTTGTTAAATGCAAAGAGTGCTATTTAAAAACTCATAGAATAAATGAGTTCAACCTAAATTAGGATGTACATTGAAAATATCAAAAACCATAGCTAACATATCTATCAGTAATAACCAGATAAAAAGTAAAATGAGGAAAACAGAGAAGGCAAACGGAAAATCCTACAAAATGCCTACAGACTCTAAAAATAAGGATGTACAACCTACCAGAAAAAAATTACAGAACTTTACTAGGAGTCCTTAAATGAGTTTTGAATAAAAAGAGAAACTTAGTTTTATAGCTTGAGTTGTTGGTGGATAGATCCCATAGCCTATATAATCCGTGTCACTGGGATTACAATTATCATTCCTTTTTATAATGTTCCTAGTCACACTACAAAATTCCATCACAGCGATAAAGGCATTTCTGAAACACCAACAGGCCTGCTGTTCTGTAATCTGTCATTGAATAAATTAGTTTATGTCTCTTTGTTTCTGTATATATTCTGAAAAGGAGGAAGTGGAGGAACATGAGAATGAGTGATGTGTGTATCTGAGGAGGGAGGAGATAAATAGAGAAAGACATTGTTACATCATTGGAGGTGGGGTAAGTATGTGTGCCACCTCCACCATTCCCAAGCTATTGTCAGAAAAACACCATGTTTTAGGACAGGATGGCTATATTTTATAGCAACTAAAATCAAATTAGCAATTTTTATTATGGAAGTTGAGAAAATGATGTTAAGCTTCTCCCATCAGAATAAATAGCCAAGAAGAAACGAAAATTTTGATTCAGGAGAATAAAAATATTAAGGATTTAGTATTCCAAAATTTTAATATGGCATAATATATTTAAATATTTCTCTAAAGTTAGTAACTTTATATAGCAATTTGAACTTTATCCAGTTTCAGGTTCAATATAAAGAGCGAGCTTTTTGGATTTTGTAGCAGAAACTCAATAGTTGTTAACTGATATTGGTCTGTAATTGTTTCTAAATCAGAATAAAAGGAAAGGAGTTATGGCATCACACTTTGTTGAGGATATTTTATAATCCAGATTTTTTTTTTTTTTTTTGAGACGGAGTCTCGCTCTGTCGCCGGGGCTGGAGCGCAGTGGCCGGATCTCAGCTCACTGCAAGCTCCGCCTCCCGGGTTTACGCCATTCTCCTGCCTCAGCCTCCTGTGTAGCTGGGACTACAGGCGCCCGCCACCTCGCCCGGCTAGTTTTTTGTATTTTTTTAGTAGAGACGGGGTTTCACCGTGTTCGCCAGGATGGTCTCGATCTCCTGACCTCGTGATCCGCCCGTCTCGGCCTCCCAAAGTGCTGGGATTACAGGCTTGAGCCACCGCGCCCGGCCAATCCAGATCTTTTTATCATTTCTATATTTCCTAGCAACACCTTACTTTTACCTATTTTGTAGAAGAAGATACCAAGGCCTTGTGTGCTGTTGAATTTTTTTATTAGCAGATTTTATTTTTAGAACGGTTATATATTTACCAAAAGATTGAGCAGATAGTACAGAGAATCCATGGGTAGCCCCTCTTTCTTTCACTAGTAGTGTACATATTTCATGACTGATGAAACAGTATTGATATATTATTGACTAAAGTCCACAGTTTACATTAGTGTTTATATAGTACAGTTTTACAGCATTTGACAAATGCATAATGGCATGTAACTGTCATTACAATATCATACAGATTTTTTTTTTACCACTCAAAAAACTTCTGTGCATCACTTATTTATTCATACCTTCTCCCCACTCCTACTGGAAACCACAGATTTTTTACTATCTTTATGCTTTTGCCTTTCACCTAATGTCATATATTTAGAATCTAAATTATGTAACCTTTTTATACTTGCTTCTTTCACATTGAAATATGCATTTAAGTTTCCTCCATGTCTTTTTGTGGCTTGGTAACTAATTTCTTTTTATCTCTGAATAATATTTCATTGTAAGGATGTACCACCATTTTTTACCCATTTACCTACTAAAGGACATCTTGGTTGTTTCAAAATATTGTAATCTTTGAACAAAAACTGTTATAATCATTTATGTGCACCTTTTCCATAGACAAAAGTTTTCTATTCAATTAGGTAGTACCAAGGAACACAATATA